AGGCTGCCGCGCAGAGGAGCCCAGCTGCGAAACTCACGGGCTGTTCAGCCAGCCTGGGTTCGAATCCTTGCGTCGTGCAGATGGGAGTTCCGCGCCGTGCTGCACCGCCGACGGTGCCGAGGGCATTCCCGGGGCGCTTGTGGAGAAGCACCGTGGCCGGGATATCATTGACCTGTTGCCGATGTCGTGGTTGATCGAACGTGGGTGCTCCACGAAGTGGGATGACTCTTTGTTTTTTGCTCGATTCGGTGTGCCGCGGGGCAGCAGCTACCCTACCTGACCAATGGGCAGATTGAGCAGGTGTTCGCTGACTTGCCTCGGGCGTCGCCCAGGTCGGAGTGGCCGGACTGCTGGGGCGCGGGTGCATGCCGCGAGCTTGGTGGTGGGACTTCAAGCGCGTGCAGCGCGACTGACTGAGCTCGGGACTCGCGCCCTGGAACCGACGACTACCCCCTTCCGACACTGGCGCGCAACCCGCGGAGACGAGTCGGACTGCGAGCCGAACGGCGCCTGTTCCCTGTGACCCCGATGCTTGCGACGGTCGGCCAGACCCACGTCTGTCGATAGCTGCTCGCGGAGGGGAGGCTGGAGTAGCGGTGCAACCCGAGGCTGTGGCCAGAGCCGCCAGGACGGCGCGCGCTTCCACGCGCAAGGCATTGGGGCACCTGCAGGGCCTCGCCAAGGACGATAGGCAGAAGCTGGTTCACAAGTACCAGTCCATGACCGACTTGTGCTACGATGGTGACGAGGCGACCGCGGCGGACAAGCTCCAGCACCTCTTGGCGGACAGGCCGCATGACGCTGGGCCCGCGGATCATGCGCGAGCGCTGCGTTGGCAGCGGGGAGCTCAGCAACGTGGCCGAGCGCGAGAACATCGGTTCGATGATCAGGTTTTGATATTCTGGATGGTCCTTGTAAACGGCTGTCGCACCCTGCTCGCCTCGCTTACTTGCGCGCCGTAGGGTAACTACAGTCGAGGATGGCAGAGGGACAAGCTGCGCGAGCAGCGGGACAATCATATTCGCATTATGCAGTTCCTGGCAGTCCTCTGTGTGATCCAGGTGGTGCTTCAAGGGCATGCCTCATTGAAAACCACAGACAGCGATATCTGGACCGACTTGCCGCTGGGCGTCCTGAGCGAGTTCCGTTGACCTTGGTCCGGAGCACATTGGACCAGTGCTACTACGGAGCCAACATCGAGGACAGCCCCATCAAAAAGGCCGTTGATATCCTGTCCAACTGGGCGTTGGGTACTGATTTTGCCAGGCGCTGCAGTTGTGATCATAAGCATCGAAACCTTCGGGGGGGCAGCGACGCCGGTGCTCCGACGGCTCAGTCAGCAGTCTACCCAGACGACCTGTGCACGCTAATCTTCGGACTTCGCGTGCGCGTCCGCCGCCGCCGCCGCCAGGGGGGGGAACGCGCGTCCGCGCCCCGACCGCCCTGTCGTTTTCGACTGCCCCGGCAGACAGGATCAATGACGCGAAGGACATCTTGCACGTGCTCGGAGTGTTTGCTTAGGAACATGGTCATGGGGAGGCGTGGCGCGGAATTGTGGTGCCAGGATGCGCCAATACGCGGAGTTTGGAATGGATATTGGTGTGACGGATGCTCATATCCGTTGGACTGTGGTGACGGAGACTGCAAGTGATGCGAACGGTGACTGCGCTGCACCGCGGTCGGCCAGACATCTGCCCGTCGATGTGTCGCGGGGTCTTATCCGAGGGCTCGGGGAAAGCTTGCCGCGTCGGCTATTGCTGCGACAGTCCCAGCCCAGGAAAGCCGAGACGATCCACATGCACGTGACCACGAGGACACGACGGCAATTGTGGAGTTGGGCCTTGCAGCAGCATCGCCAGACTCGGAGAAGCAGCCAGAGCAGCCACACTTGGACCTGGTCTGTGGATCTGTCCGCGTGGACGTTGCTTGGCAGTTTCAGCCATGCGACGGTGGCAATGCGACGTGGCAGGCAGCTGCGCAGAGACGGCACCAGCACCGGTCCCGAACAAATCAATGACTCGGTGTAGCATCTATAGACCTGGGCGGACCGCGCGAACCAGACCCTATGGTGGGGGCAAAGCTCGGCCAGCGGCCGGGTCACTACTTCCTGGTGTTGCACGTCCGAGCGGACGCAGGCGCGGGACACAGGTGTGTGGACGCAGACGGTACCTCAGGGGCATCAGGCTTCACTGGGCGCAGGCCCAGTGTTCCAGGTCCTGGACGCCGACGTCAAGGAAACAGAGATGCCGCTGCTCTACGTCGAGGTCGTCTCCGCAAGCGCGGACGCAGCAGTGGCCGCGCAGCGGCTGCTTTCTAGAGCACGTTATTGACCACGATCACCTGCCAACCCGCATTGTCTTCAGGTTGCGCAGCGACAAGGGGCAGGAGTTCTTGAGCAACGCCTTAGAGCAGTACTGCGCGGGCGATGGGATACGACGCGCCACCGCAGCTGGATGCGACCCGTCTGCCAGCGGGGCAGGTCAGAATTCGGTGGGCTACATCAAGCGCAAGGGGCGGCAGTTGCTGAGCGGCGCACGTTTGCCAACCTCCTGGTGGGGCACGGCGGGTTTGGCTGCCGCGTATTTCCCTCGCTGCGCGGCGGGGCTAGAGAAGTGGCCAGAGTTGGCGCGCGCAACGTGGTGCATGGTGATTGTCGACCCGGCACCTCGCTACGCCTTCCTCCCACGCTCGCTCCCGGCGATGGTGTTCGGCCCGAGGTATCGGGTGTCTGGAGCATGCGTCGTCTTTTAGAATGTCACGCTCAAGGGCGCGGACGACGTGCCAGCGTCTCCACCTGACGCAGAGGAATGGGCGTGCGTGAAGGCTCACCTCATGGACTGGGGCACGCCAGCATCGCCATGTCAGCCGCCTCCCAGCGAGGCGTGGGGCGCGTCCAAGCACACACTCAGCCAGACGGCGGACAACGCTTTCGATGACAATGAGCTCTTGCCGCACGTGGTCGACGACGAGCCGGAGGAAGCAACGCAGTTGGAGGGGCTGCCTGGGCAGGCGCGCGTCGGGACGGAAGAGCTACTGCAAGAGGGGGTGGTGGAGCCAGAGCAGCACGGGGGAGCGCGAGGATCGGACCTAGGGGCTGAAGGTTCAACTTCGCGGTCGGCAGACGCGCGTCTGTCGATGGCGGGGGAGGGCTGGATGTTCCGTCACTACGATCTACGAGAATCCAGGATGCTACAGCAGTGTGCGGAGATAGTCGAGTACCCGCGCGCTGCCCTGGACCTCTCGGACGCGAGTTCGGCAGCTGCCACCTACGGCGGGACGGCCTCGTATACCTGGGAAGGAGCGGCGATGGCTGCTGATCAAAATCTGACCAGGCGAAGTGCGCGACGACGACGAGCTGTGGGATGACGACGATTTCGTCATTGGGCCGAGGCTTGGTATTAGTTCGGACGCAGATGCGCAGACCAGCATGCAGCATGCAGCCGCTTCCGTCGAGTCGGAGGCCGTTGATCACGATACCCAGAGGGATGCGAAGACGAAGCAGTGCCATCGCGAGCTGCTCATCGACGCCGTCGCCGACGTGCGCTGTGCTTGCTTCGTCGTGCTCTCTTTGACCTGGAAGCCAGGTTCGGGCCTCCCGGATGCACCGATGCCCTGCAGCCCAACCGACGCCGAGCAGCGAGATGGAGGAGATGGACGCCTAGGCAGTGGAGAGTGACTTCGACGCGGAGATGAACGAGCCAGGTGCACGAGCAGTCCCTGATGTGGAGATCCGCAATGCCACCGGCGCTAATCTTGCGAACTGGAGGCTCGCTGCCGAGAAGGAGCTTCACGAGAGCTTCTACCGCGTGGGCTCGGTGGCCGAGGCCGCCGATCAGGAGCTTGCACGAGTCAGAGGTCATGCCAGCGACCTTCCGATGAAGATCGTCAGGGGGAGTGGTCTGTGGGAAATATTCTGCGCGTGACCCCGCGGGCCGAGTCTGGACCGCGCTGGCAGGAACCAGTTCACTTATGACGGGCTTGAGGCTATCTAGTGTCAGGAATAGTGGGATGTTTGCTAGCTGGACGTCAATGCGGCGTTGATGCATGCTCCATTCCCGGACGGAATGCTCATCGTGGTGCGCCCTTCCGCATGGCTGGGGAAGACTCGGGGTCGTTCCAGGCAACGCGTTGTGGACGCTGCGTAGAGCGGCATGCGGGCTACGCATTGCACCCAGCGCGTGGGGCTTGGAAGGAGATTCGCGCACCAAACAAGTGCGATTCCAACAGGACGGGGGCGAGTACATGCTCAACCAGTGCTCCACGGATGCCCAATCTTGGCGCGTGACCACGAGCGCGCCCGACGAGAATGGGCAGTGCAATGCCATCGGCTTGCTCATCTGTTATGTCGACGATATGTTGTTGATGGATGGCGGGGAGATTCGAGGCGCTCTTGTCTGGCGCCAAGCGCAAACGCCCCGCTGGAACCGCCCGGAGGGCTCGCACTCAGGAAAACACGGGGGACATCGAGGTCGATTGGGATGGCGACGATGAGTGGGACTGCGGATAGCAGTTCACGTTGTCAGACAGCGCATGAGCAGTACGGTGCGACCGCGGGTCATTTTCAGGCGGGTAAGCCTAATGCGGCTTCTCTACTGTGTGTGTGGCCTTGTATGCAGGGTGTAATTTTGCCAGTCGCATTCTCTGTTCTCCGGGTGTAGCTTCATGTGCATGTTAGCGCGTTCCTCTGAAATCAAACCAACAGGAACCAACATGCTTGTAGGCGAGACGAGGGTACGGGAGAGAAGCCTTCCGTAACCATTTTGGGTCGAGATCCCACGAGTCCCCGCGCTGGAAGAAACAGTCCAGCTCTCCTCCCTGAACCTGCTCACCTCTTTCTCCGATACCAAATCGCACATTGTATCTTGCTTATCCCATGGCCCTCGATCCTCTGCGCGGTAACTTGTCCCAATGTGGAGTTACGAGCAATGCCAGCAGTTGCAGCGACGGCGCCCTGTTGCCGCAGCCTCGCCCGCGGGTCGCCCCCTCCCCTCCGCCCAGAGGACGCCGCTCGGCGGACGACCGAACGGCTCGCGGCGGACGGCGCGCGCGCCGAGCAGGGCGAGAAGCAGCGGGCCATCGCGGCGGAGCAGAAGGCGCGCGAGGAGGCGGCACGGCTCGCGGGCCGCGCGCAGGGGGGCGCGGGCCTCCAGGCGGGCGCCAGCGTGTGGAACGCGAACGCGTGGCACTGGGAGGATATCGGGCCGATGAATTATGCCCCAGGTCACCCCCAGGGACGCGAAGATAATCTGGCTCTGCGCATCGCGGCTCGGGTTGGAGAGGCGCCCTTTTCCAGGACGGCCGCGCGAGGGCACGAAGATAACCGCGCGTCGCGCATCGCGCAGCGCAGAACGCGAAACTAGGCGACCCAGAAGAACAATCGGCGTAGCCGTAAACTTTCGGCTGATCGGAGGATCGTGCCGCATCGCCGATGCATCGGCGGTGAGGCTTGATGTTGAGCCCGATTTTCTCCACGCCGACGGCGCCGATCCATCGCCGACGTCGCCGATGCATCGCTGATGCATCGCTGATGTATCGCTGATGTATCGCTGTTGCATCGGTGGGAGGATATATCATTCAGCAGAAGGGCAAGCTTTCGGAGGTCGGCGCGGATTTCTTGGATCGGCACTCGGCCCCCCCAAGTGGCGCTTCTTGCGCCGCCCCCGGCGTCGAGGGAAAAACCACGGTAGCTATGACAAAGGTGTCACGTGATTTTGTCGACGCCGTTCTTGGTCATGGTCCGTGCTGGCCATCACCAGTTCGCGAGGATGCTTCACGAATTCACGATGACCATCGATCCGAGATCCGCTCCGAGTTTGGAAAGGTTACGCTCATGCAGCAAGGGCGCCCTCGAGGGCGCGAAGTTATTCGCGCTTCTCGCTTCGCGGTTCGGCTCCGATTCCTCCTCATCCCCCTCGTCTCCCCTGGGAGGCGGCGCGAGAGCGCGAAGTTATTCGCACTTCGCGCTTCGCGCCGCGCGAAGCGCGAAGTTGGGAGCCCTTGATGCAGATTGTCCTTTCTCTACCAAGGGCAAATTGCAATAGCGCAGGGACGGGGTGCTCCTTCGCTGCCATCGGGGGGAGGGATGCGCGCACGCTTGCCTGCGCGATGGGGCTTGGCGTGGACACGAAGGCTCCATGCCTGTGCGATCTCCCACTCGGCAGCAAGAGAAGGGGGCGATGTGAAGGGGTCTGGCGTGCCATTCGTGCGTGCCACACCGCAACAATAGATCTCGAAGTCCACACCACGTCTCGCCGGCTTCACGGTGCGACGGCCTCGCTGGACCTAGCGATGCGGTGCCCCCTCCCCCTTCCCCCTCCCCCTCCTTGGCATCGCTCGGACGTGTGCACCTTGTCTTCGGCGAGAACCATCGAGGAGCCTTTTGGGTGCTCGTGCGAGAAAATGCACGCGCGGAAATCGAACAATGAAAGGGGATTGGATCTCCGAGCGATGGCGAGCCTCGTCACTCGCCTCCGCCCCGAGAGGTGGGGGCCGGGGGCCACCGCTTCCTAGACCCCTGCGGCGCTCCCCAGGACCAACCAGCTCATCACGCTGCGCCCTTCTCTCCTGGCGGCTCTGGGGCCTGCGAACGGTCCCGGGGGCTCGAAGCCACAGAAATCCAGGACCACCTTCCTCCATGACCCTTTTCCCGCATGCCAGGGTTCACTTCGATCGATCCGATTCGATGTCGATTCCGGCCAGCCCGATGCGGTTCGATTTTGGCATTCCGACGGTCAGAAGCGTCCTGATGCCTGCATGGCGCTAGTTTGCATCCTGGCGCGGCCGACCCGATTCGATCTCGACGCCGTGCCTGCGCGTGTCCCGATGCAGCGCGCGTTCCGACCCGACCCGATTTCCCGATTCGATGCTGGCTGCTCCTGCGCGCAGCAGCCTTTTTTTCCGCGGCCCGAAGGACGGGGCTCTTCAAACAATGTACATCCACCCCTGGATCCCTTCCTATCCCGAGGACCCCCTCCCTCTGGACCCAATCTTCGAGCCATCGACTTCTGGCTCCCCAGGAGAAGCCCATGACGCAGTGGGCCCAGGGCTGGCTGCGGGAGCGCCTGTTGGGGCTCACCGTGCGCCTCCTCGACGGTGCGGTGAGCGCCCACTTCACGGACCTCGCGACGGATGTGCCGCCGTCGGTCGTCGCGGCGGCCCCGCGGCTGGCCGCGCTCGGTCGGCTCGGTTCGGACGGTCGCCGCGCCGCGCCCTTCCGGCCGCCTTCGGCCTGTCTCTTTCGGCCCCAGCGTCGAGGTTCCCACGTCACCCACGGGGGCGCGAGGACGATCGCTTTGCTCTCGCGCGCTGCGGGCCCCAGGCCGCCAGATCCGCCCTTCTCCAGGGCGCGCGGCGCTTAGGCGCGAGGATGTCCGCGCGCGGCTCGCGCATCGCGGGACGCGCGAAGGCGGGTGACCCAGCGGCTCGGCTGTTTCGGAGTCGGTCGCACTCGGTGGGTTCGTTTCGGTCGGTTGTCGCGCCGCCGTGTCCATCCTGGCCTCTCGGTCCGTCGGTCTCGATCTCGATGTCGGTTCGGTCGGCTCTCGGGTCTGCTGCTGCTGCTGCTGCTACTGCTGCCGTGACCTCTGTACTCAGCGGGGGTGGGGTGGAGTTGGTCTTCCTCCCTCGCTTCCCTCCCTCCCATCCTCCTGGTGCAGAGAGGTCTTTTCATCTTGGCATCGCTCGGACGTGTGCGCCTGTTCTCGGCGAGGACCATCGAGGAGCATCCTGGATCATTTAGCCAAACAAGCACGCACGATACCGATAACTGCACCGGAAATGGATGTCCGAGCGATGGCAGGTCATCCGCAGCCCTGGTCGTGGACCCCCACCTGCCAGGACGTCCTCCAACCGAGCCTGCCTCGCCCCCCCTCACGGTATCGGCGGGGCAACGGCCACCAGCATCATTTGCGTATGTTTCACTTCAGCTGTCATCACGCGAGACATATAATAAGTATGTGGGGATAATCGGTCCACCACCGCCACCACCACCACTAAGCCTTGCGTTCGTCTGGTTGCGTGGGTAGACACGCCAAACATGCGCCAAAGAGAACACGAGACGCCAAACGCGTGCCGGCACAGGAGGGAGGGGGAAGGACGACGAAGAGGAGAAGATGATGAAGATGATGCGATATATGCAAAATCGTTTCACGAATGTTGTGTGAGCTTGTACACTTCTGCTGCCCATTGCTGCCGGGGACGGCCACGTTTTCTGCGATGTGCCCAATTGCGCGGAGTGCCATCCGGATTACAAAGAATTGTTTTGACCATTGAAGAACTTGGAGATTTATACATTTTCTTGTGCAGCGCCACTTGATTGCCCAATAATATTTGCGAGAGTTGTTTGGCAGACGCTTTCTCCAATACTGTTGCATTCGTCACTCGAGAAATGAATGAAGGCGCAATTCCCAGCAGACGCCGCAAACATTTGCAATGAAAGGCGTCCAAACGCATTCTGTCGGATTTGAGCAGCCAAACAGAATCCAGCGAGTACAACAACTTGCTTAATACACAGCTCTCGTAAATGATATATTTTCGTCTTATCCCAAACGATGTGCGAGACCATAACTTGTTCAATTGTTTGAATGTCCTGCTGGCCTCCCCCAGTCGCCGTGTCAATTCTGCTCCAACTTTGCCATCGCACGTAATCAACCCTCCAAGGTAAATCGATTCTCGTACAACTTTAATGCTTTCGCCTGACGGTCTTGAAACGGAGTTGTTCGTAGAAATCTGCATTTGCAATGTTTTGTCCCAGTTGGGTTCAAGACCGTATTTCGTTCCTTCGTCCATTATTGCGGCAAGCATTGTTTGAAGATTTTGCGGGCTCTGTGAAGTAAGCAGGGGGTCGTCGGCATACATAATGTCGCGTGATACCAAAAACGCTGGCTCTTGTTGTAGATGCAGATCATCAAACGCATCGCGCAGCATAACTGTTTGGATGATGATGAACAAGTACGGCGATAGGGGACACCCTTGGGCTATACCTGCGCGCTGCTGCCTTTGAGACGAGTGGCCCGTGTGATCTACAATGGTGACATAACGGGCTGCATACATTGATTCCACCATTTTTACACAGCACTGCGGTACACCAAACCTTTACAAAGCTTGGCACATACAATCTGGTTTGAGTCGGTCGAACGCTTTCGACCAGTCCAGCATAAGCAGAAGCGTACCACCCGTGTTGTTCATGTGTGCGGCATCGATCATTCGCCTGATCATCATCAGAGCCTCGCCTGTACCCCGTTTTGGCCGGAATCTAAATTGAGAGTCTCGCATTCTTTCTTCTGCTCCTCCTTGAATCAACCTGTTGTGCAAAATAGACGCCAAGACCTTGTACCCAACTGGCAGCAGAAATATATCGGCCTGTAGTTCGCTGGCAGTGCAGCATCCCCTTTTTTGAAAAGCAAAACGACGTTTGCGGTTCTCCACGACTCTGGAATCGTTTTTTGGTCCCAGCATTGCCGGCACATAGCCAGAAGTATACCGCAGGCAGTGCCATCTTCCGCCAACATCTTCCAGAAATCGGGCGGTATGTCGTCAGCTCCAGAGCTTTGCCTTGCTTCGTTTTTCGTAATGCTGTTTTCAACTCTGCCATGTTGATGGCCCCTTGGGAGGCGCGGTCGTCCCGGCTGCGGGGCTGCAGCTTGACGGGCTCGTCAACGGAGCCTGGACGCAGGCCTCTACCCTCATCGGGGCCAACTGGAGCCAGGGCCTGGCCGTGGAGCTGCCGACCCACGAGGCGACGGGGGCGATCAGTGGGACCGCGCTGTTCGAGATCGATGAGGTCGGTGTACCAGGTGCTGGAGGTCAGTATCTCAGCGCGCAGTTCAGGGGCGCGTCGTTGGCCGCCGAGGCGATGCGCTTTGACGGCGCCTTCCCTCCGCGGGGCGGCGGTCCTGCTGGGCTGCTGCACCTCTGCGCGCAGGGGCCTGCGCGGTGTGGCGAGCCTGCGCAGGCGGGCCGCGCCGTCCTGCACGTGGAGTGGCTGCGGCTGCGCTCGACCCACGGGCTGGTGGAGCCCTGGGTGCGCCCGAGCGTCTTCGGCGGCCGTGGCGGTGGAGCTGGTCGGGGCGGTCCCTCTCCCATCCTTGGCGGAGCCGCCGCCGAACGCCTGGCGGCGGCAGCAGCTGCCCGCGCGCTTGCGGTCGGGGGCGGTGGCAGCCGCGGGGTGACAGGCCGCGGCAGGCTTCGGGCTCGCAGTGAGTCTGGCAGCCGCAGTGATGGCGAAGGCGAGCCGCGTTTTCGCGACGCCCCCTGTCGCGGCGGCAGCGTACGGCTGCTGGCGGAGAGACAGCCTGGCGCCCTCTACGACGAGGCGATGCAGAACATCGCCCGCGTCATGGGCCTGCGGGAGGGGGCGGACGGTTCCGAGACGATGCCGAAGGTGGTTGGCTATTTGCAGGCCATCGTGTTCGGCCACCACCCCGTGTCCCAGCTGCGCGTCAACACGGTGCGGGAGCTCCAGACCTTGGCGACGGCGCTGGACCAGTTGGAGAGCGGCTCTCTGCCGCAGCTGAGCGACGTGCTGATGCAGAGGTTCAAGGCTCTGGAGCTCTCGCTGTCGGACGCGGGCTGGCAGGTTAGGAGCGAGCGCGAGATCGTCCCGGACGTGAGGCCGTCGCTGGCGTCGATGGACGAGCAGGATCTGGCGCGGCGCTCGGCGCTGCTGAGGAGGCGCTTGGAGGAGGCCAAGAGCCGCGGGGCCTTCGGGGCGCTCGGCCGCGGCCAGGGGCGCGGGTGACCCGAGGGGGGGGGCGCGGGGGGGCCAGCGGCCGCGCTTCCCCTCTCGAGCCGCGCTCCAGCCAGCGCGGGAGCTCTCGCGCGGCAAGGGCAAGGGTCGAGGTCGCGGGCGTTTCCGCTACTTCCCGCTCCGAGGGAGCAGCCCCGCTCACGCTCCAGGGTCGCCAGCGGCAGCGCCTCGGGCCGAGGAGGCACCCGCCGCAGCGCCCTCAGGCCCCCGCGCGCGGACTCCGTCTCCCCAGACGGAGCGGACCCCCCGGGGAGACAGCCCCCACCCGCGCCGAGTTGTGCTAGCGGGGAGCCCCGAGCGCCGCACCTTCAGGCAGGACGAGCCAGCGGCGGCGGCGTCGGCTCCCCAGGGAGCAGGACGCGGTCGCCCGAGACGCCGCGGCGGCAGGGGACGCAACGCAGGGAGGGCCAACGGCTCGCGGCCCCGCCCGCCTGGCGGCCGCGGGACTGACCCCCCGGCGGCGGCGCGGTGAAAGCCCGTGGTGACGATGCCTTTGCTGATGGCGCCCGGGACGCAGCAGCCGCTTCGTTGCAGGCTGCTGCGCCGTGCGGACCGCCTGGGGCTTCGCCGTCGCGTTCGCTATCTGACCACTGCGCTGCGACCCCGCTGGAGTTGCCGCCTGCCACTGCTGACGAGAACTCTCGACACGATCCACTGGAGGACTGGAGAGGGCTTACTGGGGCTGCTGGTGACTTGCTCCGTGAGCCTTATGACGTGGGCCCGATCCTTCTCAACCTCGTCAAGGATTTCCCTGGTTCATTCGGTCGCTACTTCCGTGACTCCCTCAAACCTCAACTGCGCGAGCACATGGCCACCATGGGAGGTCGGCTGCAACGTGACTTGCTGCCGTTAACGTACCCTACCATCGTGGAGACCGACGTCGTGTGCGACGGCGATGACCTTAGCGACTTGAACTGGGAGGGGCCCGGCTGCAGGCTGGTTGTCACGGTGCTGGCGCTCAACGGGGAGGCAGGCTTCCGCTCGCCGAAGTTCGCGCGCCTCTGCCGCAGGCGCCCGAGCGCTGCTCAGCGGGCAGCCTGGGCTGCCCTGAGTCGCCCCCTGTACCTGGCGACGCGCATCGAGACCAGCCTGCCTGCAGAGCTCAACTGGGAGGACCGCCTGAAGGACTGCCAGATCGGCTACGGCGGCGCCGAGATCACCGCGCCTCATGAGCTGACCTTGGAGCAGGTGCTAGACGGCTTGCCGCCGCCTGGGGTTGCGGCCTCGATTGAGGCTGCCGAGGTCGCGACGGGCTTCGTGCGCGACTCGTTGCTGGATTCTGGGCTGGTGCTGCTGCCGCCTGCGCTGAGCCGCGCGGCGCCGACTTCGGTGCGGGCCCACGACGCCCCTGTCAAGTGCCAGGACGGG